TGTGAAATGATTCATGGGCTGGGCCATTAGACATACATATCCATGGGCTGGGCCATTGGGCATACTTTTTTTTTTCGTCAAAAAGAGTGACCATTGATTCATTCTTTTTCGACTACATATGATTTATCTTAAATATGGAACAAAAAATTGGTTGTCTATTCTGAGAAAAGTAGTTACCCAAGTGTATGTTTACCATATTTGGAGGTAGCAAAACAATGTCTTGTATGAATACATTCGCTCACCCCACAAACAATCTTCAAGTTTATAGACCGCGATATCAAGAACATCATCACATCGACAAGAGAGAAGCATCTCTTTCACAGGCTTATGCCACTATGGTTGTGATAATTCTTCCAGAATTTTATTGAATCCCTTGTTTTTATTCTTATTGTCAAGGCTTCAATTTCATAGGTTATACAATATTGTAAAACCTGATTTTTCATTTTAATGATATTTATATGCGAAAAAAAGAAAAAAAAATTGGTTGGAGTACGTTTTGGTGGCTAATCGCCTAATCGGGCCGGCTTTTGTGTGATGGCCCTTCATTTCCGGAACTTTTTTTTGTCTTATTTTTTCCCTCCAGGCAGATTTTTTATGCATCATAAGTCAAGTCACGTCAATGTCTTACTTTTAGATGTGTTATGTATTACGTAATATCTATTTTTATTTTCTGTATATTGTATATATGCATCCAGTTTCTGAGTTGACCTATATTAAACTACACTAAACCGGCCAGACTTAATCCATGTATAATTCCCAAATTCTTTTTTTTTTGTCAACCCCAAATTTTATTTTCATAATGTAGTATTACTTTTCTTCTTCATCGAACTGTTGAGAAATACTCTTAATATTTTTTTAACAGTATAAATAACAATATATGTACTTGTTATGAAATGCTGAAAGGCCAATTTTTCTAACATCAAGGACAGATCCACGAATCTGTCTCTCCATATATATCATCCACGTGAAACACACCTTGAAGATTTCCCCACAGATGATGTGAATGTTGGAGATACAATCCAAGTCTCACATCGGAAGTTTGAAGCCAATCCACTAATTGTCAATTGGTTTTTAGTTGGAAGCCCAGAATTAGCCCAAATTTAATATGGTATCAGAGCCCAAGGTTCAAATTCTGGTGGACCTAGAAAAGTGGATACGGACATACCTCAAACCCGAGTAATGGGGGCCCGAGAAAGGGGCTTATTATCGGTCCGAGTGAGGGATCGAGGAGGTGTGTTAAGATCCATGTGGTCCTTGGATTGAAGGGGAAATTGTTGGAGATACAATCCAAGTCCCACATCGGAAGTTTGATGGGACAATCAATAATATATAAAGGGTTAGGGCCAATCCACTAATTGCCAATTGGTTTTTAGTTGGAAGCCCAGAATTAGCCCAAATTTAACAGTGAACACTTTCAGTATGACGGCTTCATAATTGACATTTGCAATATTTTGTTTATATATATACAATGTTTGCTTTGCATATAGGATTCGAACTGGATTAAGCTAATTAACGTGCAAGATCTCACAGATCATATATTTTAAGACATGTTTCTAGAATATACTAGCTATTAGCTAGTAATATATGGACGTCGTTAAGAATTAACAGTATATATTAAGAACTATACATTGTCCTAAACCATTAATTAATTGCCCATGTTATGTTATAATGAAATACGTGGTGGTTTTATGATTAGTATTACATACAATTACAATAACGATGAACTAGCAAAACTATGTATTTAAAAATATATGCTACTACTCGATCATCATTTGGTAAACTTATACAAGTATTAATTATTTGATTACGGAAATCTGTTTTTGTTAGTGTTGTTAGAACTTAGAATCTATTAGCAGGCCGGTCTGTTATATCTAAATGCCCTACGCCACTAAAAAATCGTGTTCTTTATAAAAAAGAAAATTCTTAGCATCACAAATAAGATTAATATAAATCATACTAAAACTGAAAAAACCCAGTTATTAACTTCAAACTTAGTCACTTAGATGTTTACTTGATTAATCAAATCTTGCTATGCTAGTAGCCAAGTACACACAAAGAAAAATATAAATTGAATTAATAGAAATATATTTTTTTGGTAAATGTTTAGGGTTTTATTTTATTTGAAAACCAAAATTTTACTAATAAAATTCATTAACAACACATTAATTAATATTTATTAATTTAAAGGCATAAAACCCACAAAATATAATAAAAGGAAAGCCCAACAAATTTGATTTAAAAAAAAAAGCTTATTATTCTAGTTTTTTTTAATATAAAAAACCTAAAAAATTTTTTTTAAAAATATACCCTTTTTAATTTGTTGCTCTAAACCGTGGCTTGACTTGATTGTGTCATGCGTGCCGGCCTGTCTATCTATGAAGATTAGTTTGCATGATAAGAATATATAATAACAAAAAAAAAGTTACATTTTGTTTCTTAAAACCATTGCTACGATGTTTTTCATTAATCACTTTTTGTTGTCCTATAACCTATTAGGGCATTTAGGTATTTCTATCTGCAGTTGCTTGGAAAAATATTCGTCAATCTGTTGCTTTTCTTTTGTCAACGTCGATCTATTGCTTATTGCATACAGTATCAAATATAAAAATATAGAATAAAAATGCATGACATGAGAATTATTAAAAAACTATTGCAACTTGCTCTTTCTTCATTGGCCATAAGGTTTATATTGGATCTATAGGGAATCGCCAACAAGGCATATCCTTTCGTTTAATTATTCCACGCAATCATTCAACTAAAAAATGAATTATATACGTGGCCATTATATGTATCCTATACTTTTTTATATATAAAATAGTTTTAGATTTTTTTTCGTAAGCATTATTAGTTTTTGAGTAACATTATAGTTCACAAAATTAAGAGTGCTATTTAACTATTTATTTCCTAACACTTTGAAATTGAATGTATTTATCGTTTTGTTTTTTGTAAATAATATGTGTAACATTTGAAAGAAGAAAATAAGTAATTCTGTCATTTGAATTTCAAATTTTATTATCCATCCGTCGTATATGAAATTATGTTTTCTAAATAATTATATTGTATCTAATCAATAATTGACTACTGTTACAGCACCGCATTGGAGCATTGGCAACAGAAAACACACAAATTTTTTAGCAAATTATTAGTGATTTGACTTGGTCGTATTAGCAAGTTTCAAAGAGGGAAAAAACCTAAAAAAACCGCTATCTATTTTTTTTTTGGCCGTTTAATACCTGTGTTTTTAAATTTGGAATAAAAATACCTCATTTAATTTCGATTGCCTTTTAAAACTATCATTTTTTAAAACTTGGTAATTTCGAACCCGAGACTTAACAGTCGTTACTGGGCGTAACGGAATTATTTAACGGCGTTAAATTTTAACCGGGAAAAAACCAAGAAAAACCGCCATCTATTTTTTTTTTGCCGTTTAATACCTGTGTTTTAAAATTTGGAATAAAAATACCTCATTTAATTTCGATTGCCTTTTAAAACTATTGTTTTTTAAAACTTGGTAATTTCAAATCCGAGACTTAACAGTCGTTATTGGGCGTAACAGAATTATTTTACAGCGTTAAATTTTAACCCCACATGTTTATATAAATATATACAAACTGCTCACAACACATTACGAGAATGTCAATGTGGTTTAGTGGTAGCGTGTGTCTTTTTTTAAACCACCAGATCCGGGTTTGAATCTTAAACATGTTTTTTTTCTCTTTGTTCTCCACTTCGAATAACTTCCCATCAGTACAAAGTTAAGACTCGAAATGCAAACAAAAGATGAATCATAGAGCGATTTCAACAAATCGATTCTGCAATTAGATCTACCATTGAAAAAGAACAGCAACTAAATCGACATCAATCAGATCAGATCTATACATAAATGGGATGGATCTCGGCAAAAATCCATTATCTAAAAAGAGATTCGAGTGAAGAAGAGAAAGAGAGAGAGACTAGTTTGCATCATCGGAGATCTGAGAAGAAGAAGTCGTCGTCACCACCGGCGAAGAAGACGAAGAACACAAAAAGAAATTAATAAAAAAAAAAATGAGGTTGAAGTCTTGAAGAGTCAAACCCAGCTTCTAAGGTTTACAAAACTAACATGCAAACAGATAGTATATATTTATATGCAAACAGATAGTATATATTTATATAAACTCGTGGGGTTAAAATTTAACGCGGTTAAATAATTGTGTTACGTCCAGTGACGACTGTTAAGTTTCGGGTTCGAAATTACCAAGTTTTTAAAAACGATAGTTTTAAAAGACAATCGAAATTAAATGAGGTATTTTTATTCCAAATTTAAAAACACAGGTATTAAACGGCCAAAACAAATAGATGGCGGTTTTTTCGGGTTTTTTGCCGGTTAAAATTTAACGCCGTTAAATAATTCCGTTACGCCCAGTAACGACTGTTAAGTGTCGGGTTCGAAATTACCAAGTTTTAAAAAACGATAGTTTTAAAAGGCAATCGAAACTAAATGAGGTATTTTTATTCCAAATTTAAAAACACAGGTATTAAACGGCCAAAAAAAAAATAGATGGCGGTTTTTTCGGGTTTTTTCCCGTTTCAAAGACAAACTTGACAATTCCAAAATTGCAAAAAACCTAATTTAGATGCATAATGTTTGCTAAAACCGAATTCAACCTTAAGATTTTAGCAAATTTTTTGATATATTAGCAAAATTAATGCCGTGATTAACTAAAGAAATGGTGTGCCGTGCGTAATTAAACAATAAATTTTTGGTTGGAAAATGGCGACATAGACAACGTGGCGAATTCTGATTAGCTAAGATTAGTCAAATGAAACCAAACCGAAACGGCTGAAGTAAATAATTCGCATATTTTTTTTTTTAATTTTCGTGTTTGGAGAAGAGGTCGGTTTCTTGGCCAGCTGTCTAATTTCGAGATAGACGGTGAGGATTAAAAGGTGTGAGAAAATAATTAGCTGACGTGGCTTTTACTATTCTTCTTCCCTTTATAAAACACCAATCATTGCTTCTCCTTCGCCTGCACAACTGATCTTCTCTCTCCTCTGCTCTCATTCTCTCTTCTTCATATATTTTTTCTTTCTTCTGAAACGAGAGATTCGAGTGATTTTTATGAACTACTAGTGTTTTTTTTTTCCGTGAAGTAAAAGAGAAAGGGTAACTTTTCAATTTGATTTCAAGAAAAGCCAAAGAAAAAAAAAAATCTTTAATATAATCTGTTTTGCAATGGTTTTGTTTTGTGAAATTTTTCTCGGAGAAGAAAGTAATTTAGAAGACGGAGAGTGGCAAAACGATAGATAAAAAAAAACAAATAGTATTCCAATTTCTTTTAAGAAAAAAAAAGTTTTTTTCTCTTTTTAAAAACCCTTCCTCTGTTTCAGAAACAGAGACAAAACAAGAAGATAGTAGATCAAAAACTAATCACAAGCTAATTGCGTTCTCTTCTCCTTCTACTGGTAATATTTCTCTTCTTGATTTCTTTATAGTTCTTTTTATGTCGAAGTTGGTATCGGATTGTTGATCAAAGTCTTTCAACAGGGTTTTAAATCAAGAAACCATGTCTGCAAGTGTACTAAGTGATCCAACAATGCTAATTTCAACACCGGAGGTAATAATCGTCTCTCCGACGCCGGCAACACAAATCTCCGGCGATGAGCCAGATTCGGTGACGTGTGACTGTTGCGGATTAACCGAGGAGTGTACACAATCGTACATAGAGATGATCAGAGAGCGTTACATGGGGAAATGGATCTGTGGACTTTGTTCTGAAGCTGTGAAGTATGAAGTCATACGAACAAAAAGATTGCTAACTACAGAGGAAGCCATGGCAAGACACATGAACATGTGTAATAAGTTCAAATCCTCAAGCCCACCTCCGAATCCGACCGGACATTTGATCTCTGCGATGAGACAGATCTTGAGAAGAAGCTTAGATTCACCAAGAATGCTTAGATCTATGCCTAATAGTCCTTCTAAAGATGACCAAGATTGTGTTTCTAATGTTTTGTCTAGGTCCGATAGCTGTTTCGCTAGTTTGACTTAAAAGCTCATAAACCGTCGGTTTAGGACCCACCTGGATAAAATCCGGTTTTCAGATTTGAACATTTCGTCGGTAAACCAAAATTTGGTCTCTGTATGTGTTTTTGCCGGATTTGTACTTGTGGAAAATTTTGGGCTAAAGGAATAATTTGGTGCTCTGTTTCTTTCTTTTATTCTTTCTCCAATTGCTAATTACTTTATAAGGGTTCGGAATTGTGTCGCTGTGAGCTGCTTAGTTAAACAAGAACAAAAAAAAAGGTTCTGTTTATACTATTATTCGATTATAATTAGATGATTAAAAAGGGAGATTCTTTAGAGATTTATCATTTAGAAAAGACATGTATGAACAAAAACCATCGAAGGTAGGGCCATGCTTATCTCTCTGATGATTCTCTATCACAAAATAGAAATGAAAAAGGTGCTTCTTTAAGCCAGTAAACATCACATTAATTTAAATTTATTTCTTAGCATTTAGTTATTTTTTATACTGTTCAAAAAAGTGATTTTAAATCAAATGACTATAATGTAACGCATGAATCTAGTAAGTAACATGCACAAACGTTTTGAAATGTGTTTTCTCGGTTAAAAACAAAAGATTAGATGGGTTGGTTGTCCAATATTCACTAACTCTCAATAGTTTATAAAAATTTGGAATTCTATTCTATTTCTGATAAAAACAAAATTTAGGGAATCATATTTGAGCATAATTGTAAAGTGTATGCACTCGCAAATTAACTATATTGATTCGACTTTTTCAAATAAAAGATTCATTCGACTACTTAACCAATAAATTTTCCTGCAACTTGCAATGTATCTCCTTAAAATATTATCAAAATGGAAAAAAGGACAAATTGTTATAAGAAGCTGGAAGTGTTAAGTTTAAGGGATCACATGCGAGATAGTATAAATATACGATATACATGAGACAAGTTTCGTTTATGTGTATTGAAAGTCTCAAGTTAACAATGAATTTAGCTACTAAGGAAATTTAACTTGAAGTTTCATTTTCTATGTTTCGTGGTTAGAAATATCAATATGCATACGTTGCGTATCGAGCACATATGCCAGGGGTCTGCCTTTACCACTCTTTTGCCTATTTTCAAATCGAGTCGATGTGTTGTTCTACTATAGGAGTTTTTGCTTCGGATAGGGTTTTTTTGCTTTACTGCGTTTTGTTACAGATTTTTGGAACTTAACACATACTTTTCACTTATCATAATTAGTTGTCACTACGTATAATCTGGTATGTGTGTTTGATGTAACTCGAAACATATATCTTTCAAGTGACTAGCCGTACGTATTAAGAAAGGAGGAGATTCAAAGAACTTGAATTGATGGTTCATGGTTACAACAGTTGGATCATTGATTGGCACAACAGCAGGAGAAAAGCGACATGATCTGAAGTTCGTGATCTACAAGAAGAACTTAGGATTAAGTGTTATATGCACATATGTATAAAAGAAGTGATTCGGTCTAGGTATGTCGAATGTTAGAAAAATGAGCACATAGGTTAATCTGATAGAGTTTGTCCAAAAAAGAAAAAAAAAAAAGAAAAAAAAAAAAAAGAGAGGCCAAGGACATTAGGAAATGAGCTAGCAAGCTGTTTCATTGATGCCATCATTGGTTTAAAGGAACAGAGATCATATCAAGACTGTTTACAAGGATCATTGGGTTATCAAATTCTTACCTAAATTAAGCCAAACCAAGAATTTGAACGTCATAGACGAAGTTGACAAAAGTCAATTTCCGATATAACTGAATAAAACGGGCTTTTTAATATGAGGCCCATCGTATAATTAGAGGAAATAGAATCAATCAATCGGACCAATGAAGACGATCGTCTTATATTGAAAGTTTTTAATATGAGGCCCATTGTATAATTAGTTCTTATATTTGTACTTTTGTGCATCTCTTCATACGTCGACCCACTACAATGGGAGCCGGAAAAAGTGGGGAAAATAATAATAATAGATGTGGAGATTTCGCAGATACGCTTCCATCATGTCTCACCGCTACACTCGCTCGGAAAAAGCAAAAGACACTGTGAGAGCAAGCACCCCACGTCGCCGCTCTCCTGTCCGTATCCCGGAAGGAGATAACTCCTCTCTCATAGAGGCAAACAAGCTTACTCTCATTGGTAGAGTTACCAACCCTTCGATTCAAAAACCTAGAGCAGTAGTAAACTACTTCCCTAACTTCTGGAATCTGGATACTGTTGTTACGGGAAGACCACTTGGCCTTGACCGTTTTCAGTTCAAGTTTGAAACAGAGGAAGCTCTTCACTCTGTTCTAAGGAAAGCTCCATACCACTACAAACAGTGGATGCTCATTCTCCAGCGCTGGGAGCCGATAGTAGCGGACAGCTTCCCTGCTCTCATTCCCTTCTGGATTAGAATTCATGGCTTACCCCCACACCACTGGTCAAGCCAGACTATCCGCACAATTGGATGTGAGTTAGGGCATATTACTGGCGCAGATACGGGAATAGATGTCACTGAAGGCCGTATAAGAGTCCAAGTCAATGGTCTTATCCCACTGGAAATGTCTCTCCCGATCTTGCTGCCTTCAGGAGAGGAGACAACAGTGGAGATAGAGTATGAAAAACTTGAGAAGCATTGCTTCAATTGCTTTTCCCTCTCCCATGAGGTTGTTGACTGCCCCACAAAGGAAAGTTTTTACAGGAACCCTTCCCGCCCTCTAGGCATCAATCAACAAAAAACTCTTTACAAGATTGAGGCTGATAAAAGACGTTCAAACCTTAGGAGAGAAAATCCTCAAAGGTCAAAGAGCCCTCCCACCCGTAGGGTTGCTGCAGTGGGACAACAGTCCAGGAGATGGACACCATATGGGGATAAACGCCAAGCTGGCCGCAACCATAGTTCCTCTCACCACCATAATCACTCTGCACATGCTACTACCAGCCACCATGGCTATAGGGACTCTCGCCGGAGCCTTCACAGAGCTTCTCGTCGCTCTCCCTCTGACGCTGGAGCTGGTATTTCGGTCTCCCTGTCCACACCAATGGCTGATCCCTGTAAAGGGGAGACTTCCAGAAAGGTCCCGGACCATAGCAACCCTCGAGACTCAAACAGACTCTCCTTTCCCAACCATCATGGAGAAAGAACTGACATCCCCACCCCTCCCCCAAGGAACAACCATCTCCTCTTGGCTAACTCAACAGGGGAAGTCGGGGAATCCTCCACTAGTAGCAGAAATAGGCGCCCTGCTTTAGAGAGATTATCCCATGACTCTCAAGGCATGCCCTCCCGGTCTAGTGGTAGAGGTAGCGCTGGTAGTGGAAAACTTCAAGATGTGGAAATCCAGTACACACCTGACATGATTGAAGAAGATCTAAGGCGTACCCTAAATATTTCGGGTTCCAGCTGTCGTGAACCAACTTCCAGAACACTCTTCTCCTCTGTTCAGAATCACTCTCCTACATTAGAAATGGAGGAACAAAGAATTCACACTTCCCTACGATTGGGACCAATTGAAACTACCCTTACTACTGAAGCTGAAGCAGACCAGTTTACCATCAGTCGTAACCTGGCTCAGAGAATTACAAGAAAAAGGAAGGGAGGTTCATCTTCCTCTGCTCCAAAACATGGCAAAAGCCCGATTCATGGAGTTAGTTTAAGACAACGAATTGTCTCTAAATCCCACCCTTCCCCTGGTAAGAGAATCTGTGTGGCTAAGACTCAAAATCAGAACAAGACTCAAGCTAGGAACAAGACAAAGAAAGGCAAAGGCCAAGAAGGCTCTGATCAACCTCCAATTTCACTCATTCCTGCGTCGTCTAAAGGAGTTGCGGATTTTCGGATCCCGCAATCTCCTCTTCCTTAGTCACTCTGGCTTGGAACTGTCAGGGGTTGAGGAGCCCCCCTACAGTTCGTCGGCTCCGGGAAATCAGGCGTAAAACTTTCCCGGACCTCTTGTTCCTCATGGAGACTAAAAATCAAGATGAAGCAGTGCATAAGGAGCTCCAATGGATGGGCTACAAACACACCTTCACTGTCCCACCTAATGGCCTAAGTGGCGGATTGGCACTGCTGTGGAAAGAGGATTTTGATCTGGAGATATTGAACTCCTCTCCAAGCTTTATTGACACTAAGCTTACAATCCACTCAAAACCTTCTTTCATCACCTTTGTGTATGGCCATCCCCAAACACAACAAAGACAGGACATTTGGGATCAAATCTCGGCTTTGGGTGCTTCAAGAAATGAGGCTTGGCTGCTAACAGGAGACCTTAATGAAATCTTAGATAATTCAGAGAAGAGAGGAGGGCCTGCCAGAGCAGAAGGCTCATTTATACGTTTCCGTAGCTTCATATCCCAAAATGGTCTTTGGAATGTCAATCACTCGGGTAATTCCCTCTCTTGGCGAGGTCAGAGAGGTGACCACTTCATACGAGCACGTCTCGATAGATCTCTCTCAAATAATTCTTGGCTAGAAGCCTTTCCTTCTGGCCGCTCTATATACCTGCGGTTTGAGGGCTCGGACCACAGACCATTAATCACTCATGTGGATTCTTCTTTGAAAAAAAAAAGAGGCAGTTTTCGCTTTGATAATCGGCTCAGATCCAATGAAGAGATTAGATCCCTCATTTCTGAGGTGTGGCAGGAAAATAGAGATAGCTCGGTGCTCTCAAAAACAGCTAGCTGTCGCAGAGCCATTATCCAATGGGCAAAAAACCAAAACCGAAATAGCGCACTCCTAATCTCAAGCACCCAAGCTGAGCTGGAGATGGCTCTCTCTACAGATCCCCCAGACACGACTCTAATCTCCCATCTGCAGTCTGTCTTGGAAAAAGCTTATTTAGCAGAGGAGCAGTTTTGGAAACAGAGGAGCAGAATCCAGTGGCTACAAGATGGGGATAAAAATACAGCTTTCTTTCATGCTGCTACTAGAAACCGTCGGACTTGCAACAGATTCACAACCCTCGAGAATGAAAATGGAGAAGCTTTCCACCAGGAAGAAGATTTTGTCAGAATCATCTCGTCCTACTATCAAAATATCTTTACCTCACAATCTGAGGGAAATCTTGACCTAGTTTCTGAAGTTCTCCAGCCCTGTATCTCAGAAGAGACAAACCAACAATTGATTGAAATCCCTGACTCAGAGGAGATCTTTCTAGCAGCTAAAGCCATTCACCCTGCAAAGGCCCCCGGACCTGATGGCTTCACGGCAGGCTTCTACCACTCCTACTGGAACACCATTGGCCCTGATGTAATACAAGAGATCCAAGACTTTTTCAGAACCAGCTGCTTCCCAAAGAAGCATAATGAAACATATGTCAGGCTCATCCCTAAAGTGACTGGTCCAAAAAGAGTTGCAGACTATAGGCCCATAGCTCTCTGTTCCGTGTACTACAAGATTGTGGCAAAGATACTTACTAAACGCCTCCAAAGTCTCCTTCCCGATATGAATTCGGAAAACCAGTCCGCCTTTGTTCCTTCACGCGCTATCTCTGACAATGTACTTATTACTCATGAGATTCTTCACACCCTAAGCCTGTCAAAAGCGAAAAAGAGAGGCTCCATGGCCGTCAAGACCGACATGAGCAAGGCCTATGATCGGATTGAATGGGATTTCTTGCGGGCAGTGCTAATGAGGTTAGGTTTCCACACAATGTGGATTGATTGGATCATGGAGTGTGTCTCCACAGTTTCATATTCCTTCCTAGTTAATGGTTCTCCGCAAGGTAAAGTCATTCCTTCAAGAGGAATCCGCCAAGGAGATCCGTTGTCTCCGTATCTCTTTATCCTTTGCACGGAAGTTCTGTCGGGACTTTGTCGAAGAGCACAAGAGGACCGTTCTTTACCAGGGGTCAGAGTTTCACCCAATAGCCCAGCAGTGAGCCACTTACTCTTCGCCGACGACACTATGTTCTTCTGCAAATCAAGTAAGAAGGCTTGCCATGCTTTGGCCAATATTCTCCGAGACTATGAGACTGTATCAGGCCAATGTATCAATCTAGGCAAATCCTCAATCACCTTCTCCAAGAAAACATCATCAACTCACAAACTTCAAGCTAAGAGTATCCTTCGTATCAACAAAGAAGGAGGTACTGGTAAGTACCTTGGCTTGCCTGAGAACTTTGGAAGACGCAAAAGAGACATTTTTGGAGGTATTGTAGACCGCATCCGCCAGCGCTCTCATTCATGGGCCTCTAGATTCCTCTCTACTGCTGGCAAGGAAACCCTCCTTAAAGCAGTCCTCACTTCTATGCCCTCATACACGATGTCATGCTTCAAATTACCATCGTCCCTCACCCAAAAAATCCAATCTTTGTTGACCCGATTCTGGTGGGATGCAAAACCCGATGAAAGGAAGATGTCCTGGGTTGCTTGGACTAAGCTCACAAGACCAAAAAACACAGGTGGCCTGGGCTTTCGGGATATAGAAGCCTTTAATGACGCTCTTTTGGCTAAACTAGGGTGGAGGCTGATAACTCACCCCACTTCTCTCTTCTCTAGAGTTTTTCTGGGCAAATATTGCCAAAACTCCTCCTTTATGGAGGCCACACAACTCCCAAAGTCCTCCCATGGCTGGAAAGGGATCCTAGCAGGCAGGCAAGTGTTAAAAGAAGGACTTGGCTGGCTAATTGGCAATGGGGAAAGTGTTCGAGTATGGTCTGACCCTTGGCTATCCAAACTTGAACCCCTCTGCCCAATGGGTCCTCCCAACGCTAACATGTCTTGGCTAAGAGTGTCAGACTTGTTGGATCCCATAACCAAGTCCTGGAATTGGATGGCAGTCAGAGAGACGATCCCTCTGTATGAGGAGAGTATTCGCAGGATCCATATCAGCTCTTCATCACAAAAAGATAGACTGGTCTGGCTCCCAGCAAAGAATGGTCAATATACTTCCAGGCAAGGATATGGTGTTACCATGGCTAAAACCATACCGCTAACTCACCTGCAGTTCAAATGGCAGTCCACTATTTGGAAAGCACATACTTCCCCGAAACTACGCAGCTTCGCATGGAAAATTGCAATGAATGCCCTGCCTGTTAACTCTAATCTGGCTTATAGAGGTTTACCAGTTGATCCAAGCTGCAAAAGGTGCAACCAGCCTGAAACTATCTCCCATGTTCTACGAGACTGTCCCTTTGCCAGGCGGGTCTGGTCTCTCACACCACTGAAGACTAGCCCTGCATCAATTCCTGGTCCCATGTTGGAATGGCTCTCAAAAGCAAAAGCTACATGTGCTCTGCCTCCAACGGGTATTTTTTCGGCTTCTCTTTTCCACTGGATTTGTTGGTTTTTGTGGAAAGCACGAAATGCCTTAACCTTCACGCCTTCCTCATTCTCTGAGGCTGAAATTGTATTGAAAGCACAATTGGAGGCAAAAAACTGGCAGGAGGCTCAGTCTTTGCGCTACTCCAGAGAACCCGCCCAGCCCCCTGTAAACCAATCGTCCTCGACCCCGGTTCTGGATCCTTCTCTGTCACCCACTCTGTCGTCTAGATTCCAATCACTGCCCATGGCCACTTTAGTCAGTTCGGATGCGGCGTGGGATGCTGTAACTCTAAGGGCTGGTTTGGGTTGGTCTTTCCGTTCAAATACGGATGTCACGACTATCAATGAGACTTGCGGTTCGACAACACGCACTCATGTCAACTCTGCATTGGAAGCAGAAGCTTGGGCAATCTGGGAGGCTCTTACTCAAGCAAAATCTGATGGCATACAGGAGATCCATGCGCTCTCCGACTGCCAAACCTTGGTCAAACTGTTGAACTCTTCGGCTCTCCATACCGAAATTCAATCAATTATCGATGACATCCGAGCTCTTCGCTCCTCCTTTAAACTTTTTATGTTTTCTTTCATTCCTAGATGTTCTAATAGCAAAGCTGATGCTTTAGCTAAAAACGCTCTTCAAGCGATTGTACCAAACCATGTTCCTTGAGTTTACTTAATGGAATCTCCTTCTGACAAAAAAAAAAAAAGATGTGGAGATTTAACAAAAGGACAAGAATATATTACATAATAATTCACTTAAGAAATGTCAAGTGCAATCAGTGAATTTTATACAAAATGATGGAATTAGAAGAGGGTTTAATATTTTCCATATATATGTGCCAACATGCTCATATTTAGTTGTGGTCCTTTTTTTTTTTGTTTCATCAAATTTAGTTGTGGTCCTTGTGGATGTTAAATTTTGTCGCAAATATTTAAAAATTCACGACATGGTTCATGCTGATAGTCATAGAAAACTACAATACAGATTTTTAGTTAAAGATATTTCATATATTCAGAGAATTCGACTTGTATTTATTTATTTTAGTATTTCTTAAATCCTTATATATTCGTGAGTATCAAGCCCTTAGTGTAAAGCAAAAAATCGCAAATTAGGATTTGATTACCGTAAGAATATTTATAACGGCAAAAGGATTTGATTACCGTAAGAATATTAGAATATACTCTATATTATCAACTCTGTAATTTTTGTGTTTCCATTTATTACAGAAGTTGGATTTGAGGTTCAACTCTTAATAACCGGCCGTAGTCCTAGATAAATGTGGCAGAAACAAATCTCTCCCAGTAGGAGACAACGTGTGGCTTTTAAGCATCTTGAAAGTTCTCATATATATCACCGTCGACGTCGAGGGTATATTGTCAATTTTGTAATTAGTTACTATTTGTGTTTCGGCTTGCTAGCTCCATTTTTTGGAGCATACTCTTCTTGGACGGTGCCACTGCCACTTAAAGCATTATGTTTTTTTTCAATCACTGGTCGGAGAAAAAATTAACACTTAGTTCTTTAAAACGTATCAGAAGAGAATAAACGGTAATTTTTTGTTGTCCCCTAACTGTTGTTAGATGTAGTTATACCAAGACGAAAATGATCGGTTTAATAGGGTTGATCCGGTTTAATTTTATTTTTTCCATTCACAAAATATTCGAAATAGTGTGCAGATCATCATATCAGACAATCTAAAATATTTTGTATAATATATGAGAATACAAATATTAATTATTCAAGCATTATATAAGACACAAAAATACTAGATCTTGCGTGGCCCATAAAGACGTCCACGAAAATGTGACGCATGAGTGTCTCACGCTCACAACTTTATATATAATATTTCACGTACTTGCTCTTTTGTGTGTTTTAAATTAATTTGAAAGTTCACAACAACAAAATTGGAAAAACTGAATACCAATGGTCTTTGCCGTTGAAACTTTTAGGTGTAAGAAGAGTTCAAATGTTTGTGCACAGAAAAAAACAAAAAAAGAAGAGTTCAAATGAAATATTATTCAAACGTGTCTTGATATAAATCAAAGGTAACCGGTACGTTGTCAAACTAGAGACAACGTACGTATTATATAAATTAAATATTGACATATACAGCTTTTTGTGTGTGTCAACTTACATCTTTCATATCTTTGGATAAGTTTGACTTTGACTGACTATTTGCGAACTGTGATTCCTTGAAGTCATATCGACTGAGTAGCATGGCGTTGTTCATGAAGCCGGAGACAAAGCCTTGAGACTTAACCAATATAATACGATCATGCCCCCTCTACATCTAACAAAACAATTGGTCAATATATAGGATTATAGAAATAAAAAATAACTATTAGATACACAAACAAAAACAAAAATGTCCGAAATAACAATTTCAAATATATTTTTAGCACTACTAGTTCAATGTTGTTTTAGTTATGTCGAATCTTTAGATGATAAAAGAATACAAGTTATATGTTGAATCTTTATGTAATTGGATCTAAGTTCTGTTGTAGGTTAAGTTTGATGAAAAACGATTTCATTACGACTTTTCGTACCAAATAATTTTGAAATCGGATGTTCATATACACGAATGCATTCCCTATACATAGTAAGCGTCTAAGACTATATACAACTTAATCTAGTTGTATACTAGTAAAAGTCTAAAAACTTTTACGATTTTCATAAAGTAGTAAACTAGTAATAACATAAAGCGACTAATCGGCCTAACCAAAGAGGCGGCGGGTGAGCAACTTGTTGTGCCAAAATGGTGGCTATAACGTCTTAAGGATGAATACTCTTCTTCGTGGGAACCTCTACAAAGAAAAGATGATCCCTTCTTAAAAGTATGAACATTAATTGATTAATAAAACAGAACATTAAAACTAAAATTTATGAATTAAGTTATGCATAGATATTGCATATATATGTGATTTGATACTTGATATGGAAGAATTTCGTACAAGAATCAGATACCGTGATAAGTTAAAATAAGAGGAAATATATACTAACCAAGGAGAAAAAGAGAGGAAAAAACGAGATATATATGAAAACGAACTGAAAGGTTTTTGGACTTTTGAAACGTCATCTTGCATGCACGCATGTATATCATCTTAATTAGTTTATTTATGATTTATGACGAATCTTGCATGCATGTATATCATCTTGTATACATCACCAATATAACTTTTGGTTCTGCTTAGTGCTTGCATTATATAACATCTCGAGACATTTTTATTGTTTTAAAATTTTCAGGGATAACATATAGATTAATTAAAAGGTGAGATCTTATTGGTTCGGAGAAAATTATGAAGTCAAATGGATAAAGAACGAAATTTACAAAAACATTAATTATTGTGTATTCTTAACCAAACGGTAAATGTATACTCATGTTTAAATAAATTCCGGTATAATTGATCTGATTATTTTAGATATATTCATATATATATATATATATATATATATATGAACCCTATTAATCAGCTTTTCTTTGTGATCAAGGACACAATTGATGATATCATAATGTATCAACCCTCATGTTATGTAATATAACTTGTTGTTTTCTTGATATCAATTTCGAATGTGTCCAAGCTTTTTTCTTATGAAACTGACGAGATTTCACGTGACCTTAGTCCGATATTTGTTACACTATTTTTAAATACTCAATAGTGTGATTATATACTGTCTCAGACATGATCAACTTTCTTTGACGAGCCTAAGATATAATCACCATTTCCGGAACTTTTTGAATTATTTTAAAGTTTTATCCGTAGATACCAAATGTACTGTTTTATTAAACTATCATCACAAACCGATCTTCAAAATCCGATGTTCGAATTATTAATTTACTTCACTTGTGGTGTTTTATTATTATAACGTAATAAAAGATCCAATGTCAACTTTATTTGACGATCACGGGATATAATCACCATATTCGGAAAGATTAGGGGTAATATTGTCATTCAACAATTATAAAAGAATCCGAGTCATTAAACACTTTCTCGTTTGCTTCCTTAACGTTTTTAGACGCGTTCGTGTCTGACTCGGAACTCAGTTTGACTCAAATGTTAGAATCTTTTGTTGGTAAAGACCTTTTTTAATTTTGGTTTGAACTTTTATAATTTTTATTTATTTGGTAAAAAATCTTCTAAATTTTCTGTTAAAACAAAATATCTGGTGATGCAAGTATTTCAAGGAATATATGTTTTCGAAGGTATTTATTTTGTTTTGAGTAAAAGTGTTGAAAGTTTACCTTTACGTTGAACATTAAAATGTCCGTATATATCATTCAGAAAATCTAACATGAAGATTTTGAAAAATTCGCTTTTTAATTTTTGTTACCTTAAGGAATTAAAATATGATTGACGAAAGAAAAACAAGTAATTACGAATATTCCAATTAAAAAAACGTGTGGACGGCGAAAAACTCTCTTTCATTTGCTCTCTCTCGCTCTCTTTAAGGCATATATAAATAGCTGTCACCTGCCGATTATTTGTAATCAGAACTCAAACCAAATAAAGAAAGCTCTCAAACTCATTCTTGAAGCTTTAACTTTTTATCTACCGTACCATCTCATCAACAAAACCCTCAGATTTTGATTAAAAATGGCTTTAGCTAATGAGATAATGGGTTCTCGTTTAATCTTCGAGAGATCATCATCACTTGCGTCTCCGTTTCAACCGCGTTTCTCCACCAAGAAGAGGACACAGAGAACGCAGTTCTCCATCAACCCTTTTGATCCGAGACCTATGAGAGCTGTTAACTCCAACGGCGTTGTAGCAGCCATCAGCGAGGAAACGCTGCGTATTAGCACCGTCGGTAGAAAACAGGAGGAAGAGGAGGAGAAGTCGGTGAAGTTCAAGGTGAGAGCGGTTGCGACGGTGAGGAACAAGAACAAGGAAGATTTTAAAGATACTCTGGTTAAGCATTTGGATGCTTTTACTGATCAAATCGGTAGAAACGTCGTCTTGGAGCTTATTAGTACCCAAGTTGATCCAAGTAAGTCATTTAACCAAAACACACAAAATTTCTTGGTGGGTAATTTTTAAGTCGTGTAATTTAACATGGGTTTTGGTCAAAGTTTGATTTTTATTTATTGGACTAATTTACCCGAATTTTTTTTGTCAAACTTTGTAACAGAAACGAATGAGCCAAAGAAGAGTAAAGCGGCGGTATTGAAAGACTGGTCAAAGAAATCGAAATTAAAGGCGGAAAGAGTTCATTACACGGCGGAGTTCACGGTGGATTCCGCCTTTGGTTCGCCTGGAGCCATCACGGTAACCAACAAACACCAAAAAGAGTTCTTCCTTGAGAGCATCACCATAGAGGGTTTCGCATGTGGCCCTGTTCACTTCCCCTGCAACTCTTGGGTCCAATCCCAAAAAGACCATCCATCCAAACGAATTTTCTTCACTAATCAGGTAATAAATTCAGTCTTAATCAAAACCATCTACAAATTAAATCCCATTAAATGTGAATTCATAAATATCATATAGTTATATCATAGTGGGTCCAAATGTCTAAATCTTGTCTTAATTAACAAACTTGACGTCCAACTATATATTTGGATTGAAAAATTAAATGTCGTTACAAAATTGCGCAGCCTTACTTGCCGAGCGAGACACCGTCCGGTCTAAGAACATTAAGGGAGAAAGAATTGGAGAATCTAAGAGGAAATGGGAAAGGAGAAAGAAAATTATCAG